CTGGAGGTGGACCCCGGCACTATGTAATCGCGCTACAAAACAGCACCAATTGGCCATTAAAACGATGCATACCCGTATCTGCATGCATCGGCTATCACGATAAACGTATGCCCGCTCTTGACAATAAGTTACACAGTGACACACGCCGGCGGCACGCTGGTAAACACGATAGACTATTGTCCACGATGAGTCTACATAGTACATTCCGAATAAAGATACACGTCATGGGTCAGTTCCTGGACCCGTTGTGATTAATCCAAGGAGGTATACCAACGCCGAAACAAAAGGCACATGAAACACAGACCATTATTAAATGTTGGAAAGCACATTTGCGTTACCGTTTCGTGGTCATTAACTGCCCAAAAAGGAGCGAGAGTGGGGAGGTAAGTCCGCATTGTCTGGTCTGGTGGGGTTCAATGACCAAAAGACACGAGCGACCGCATTGGTCACTTCCTGGTTAGAATCATATTCTGAACTTGATGAGCGACACGAGAAACAGCCAAGTGCCCATTTATTGTTGAGACTGATGGCTTATTGTGGAGGCTTATGATATGCCACGTTAAGTGGAAGCGCTCACATCTTTGCGTGGCTTCACTTCTCATAAAAACGATTTTTTCAAAAATATGTGTTGAGTGCTGAAACGTATAAAAGGCAGCAAAATACAAACTTATAGAAATAAGAAAACAGTCTTATCACTCATTCAACACTAATTTATTCATTCATTCATGCATTTATTCATTCATTTATTCATTCATTCATTCGTTCATTCATTCATTCATTCATTCATTCATTCATTCATTCATTCATTCATTCATTCATTCATTCATTCATTCATTCATTCATTCATTCATTCATTCATTCATTCATTCATTCATTCATTCATTCATTCATTCATTCATTCATTCATTCATTCATTCATTCATTTAGGATATAACTAGACGCATCCTTCCCTACCCCATCCTTACTGTTACTCCTAACAGGACAAGTAGCGGCGGAACACCTTCAATTTAAGGGGGGGGGGGGCACTGCCGACTTTTGGTCCCATTCTTTCCATGCAACGCCCATAGCGTTAAAATGGCAAAATCAAGGGAGGGCACGGTGCCCCGGTGCCCCCCCCCCCCCCTTTCCGCCGCCTATGAACAGGACTCAATATAAACTGGAATATAATTTGTTTTGGACATCTTAAAACCGGCAATACAGCATATTAAAGCCAAGGTCTTTTCTCTCTGAACAACCAACAAAGTATTTGTCGACTATCGTTATAAAAACTCTGAATGTGCACAATGCACACTTTATTAGCTTGCTGAATCGTTTTGTTTTTACGTTACCTACGACCTACACCCAGACACAGCCGTGGCTATACAACTCCTCACATTTGTAGGGCCGGCCTGCGCAGCAAGTACCGTTCATGAGTGGGTACCGTTGCATGTTCGTTTTTGCCAGTTGACAAAACAATATGATCCGGATTCCTAGAGTTGGCGCCTTCCTCGTCCGAGCTATTGTGTGCAACCGGGCCGGGCCGAACGGACCATTAGGAACCGGGGCGGCGCATTTCTACTATACGTGTATACAAATGTAGGTATCCGTCTTGAAGTCACTCAAAGTACCGCACGAGTTCTGAACAGACACTGAATCATGGCAGTGACCCAGCTCAAATAAACATATGGCAAAGGAGTCGGCGTTATGCGTCACAAAGCGGTATAAGCAAAGCCCAACCATTGTTTGTGTAAATAGCATATACGCAGAGCATTTAGAATAACACGTGGATGTTGCTATGGACGGTTCACCATTCTCCGTATACCTATACTGACAGGTTACGCCATTAGTGTATAAAGAACGATGGTCGGTGGCATTGGATGTGTTGGATATAGCCAACAAACAAAAGAAAAAATCATATAGTTAGTAGGAGCTTGTCGCACTTTGCTTCCACCTTCTTTGGCTCCACGTAAAAAAAGATATAAATGTACCACTGACATATTTACCATACCTAATAGTTATGAAATATGAGTAAAGTCACTTAAGACGCGCCCCGCTTTTAAGACATTCGCTTTCATTCAGCTTCTGACGCAGACATAAATAGCTGTTGTATCACCTGAAACATTCGTCACTCTTTACATGAGTGAGCCGAGAAACCAGGATGGCTCATGCACAGACTTGTAAGCGATTCAATTCTGATTGAATCGATTCTCATGAATCGCTTGAAAATGCCGACTCACTGTGATTGAGTCGGTTGAATCACCTCTTGTCACCATATGAATCCTGATTGAATCGGTCACACATGGCAACTGCTAGTGATTGAATCGGCAACTCATCGATTCAAGTTGATTGAATTAATAAAATGATTCAATCAACATGTGCTGGAAATTGAAGTAATGACCATATTTAGTACTATATTATGTAGAAATATATGTGGCATTTGCATCATAGTCACACACAATGCACTGCAAAAATTTTAGGTATTTTGTCAGTATTATAAATGCGCACAGCTATCAGTATTGAAAAAACATAAAAATTTTGTTTTAAGTTTTTAATCAAACTGTAAACACAAAATTATACATAAATGTCAATGCATGAAGATGAAAAAAATGAATGTAAAGTTTCTTTCCAGTGCCCTAAAATCAGTATAGTAATCAAGTTAAAAGTAGCAGTAAGCAGGCGCACATTGCTCAACACACATGTTTTAGATACCATGTTAATCTTTATATTTTCAATACCCTGTTTCATCAGGACATTTGTGACCAAGCATAGATTTAGTACTTTTCTATGTTTTTTGGTATTTTCCTAGTGTATTTGGTTGGTATCAGTTTCCAAAAATGTCTTAAATTGATATCACATATGTATATATTTTATATAACATCTTGATTGAATCGCGTTGAATTAAATCATGAGTTGAGTCATTCCCTGAATCACTGATAATGGGATGAGTCGTGATTGAGTTGAATCACAAGGTCCATGAGTCGTGATTGAATCGCTTGGAAAATCAGACTGTTTGATTGAGTTATGATTGAATCGGTCATTTCATCAAGTGAGTCGTGATTGAATTGATTGAATTTTTTTGAATCGTTTACAAGTCTGCTCATGCACTGCTACTTCGAACCGCCGCGCTAAAATCCGTGCGGTTTTTCTCACATTTGCGCCGCGTCATGTCACCTCTCTCAGCCTCCTGCCATTACGATGCATTAGCGCGGGGCCTCCCATACCTACCTGTGTCCCCACGCTCAGACCACAACAAAGACCGGTATTACAGTCTGCAGTGACGTGTCGGTTCGGCGGCTGTGTCACTGTCGGAGTCTCCGCGGTCCCCTCGGCTACTCAGCCTATACGGGAGATCCTGGAAAGGCCCCTCCGACCGCACCCGCGTGCCGTTGTGTGTGATGCGTGCCATGGGGGAGAGCAGACGCATCGGCTGCTACTGGGAAACGTGTGGATAGGGCGACACGTGGGGATGACGTGCCGATAAAAATTGTTTCGCCGGAGAAAAATGAAATAAGAAAATGGGATGAAAAACAATTAATTCGTATATAATTATCATAGCGGACTTCACTTTCAGTTGGTATAATTAGGTAAAAGATTCCCCAGAATAGTTGTTTGTTTTCATTTTCAGGTTGTTTTATTAGGACTGCTGTCATGCATTTTTCATCTTTTGTTTTGATAAGTCACATGTTTTCTTCAGTCGTTGTTCTGTCGAGATTTTACACATATTCTGGGCCGAGGGGAGCTTTAGTCATTCATATCTTGCCACGTAGTCCGTACTACCTACGGGCGTCCGATAGTCAAATCCAGAAACCACCAGCTTCGCAGTACTGCGCTGATGCATGAATGAACTGCGGATGCCTTATCAGCCGGCGTCCTGTTTTGTCAGTCAGCTGCCCACTGCGCTGCTCCACGACTCAGTGACCCGGCGCCCTCACAATGAGTCATTGCTCTGACTCCAAAGACAGCAAACAGCGCCGATAGTCGTCTCGAGCCCACTCAAGGGTTAGGAGCTGGGAGACATGTTTGCACACATGCTATAGTCGGCTCTGGTGCTTATTACATAACGTAGGGCTCCGAGTGAGGTCCGTACAATGACGAACTCGAACTGGCCCAAGTTTGAAGTAGCAGAAGATATCGCTGATCGAGAGTTTTCAAAGCCAACTTGTTCCTATGCCTTACCTATTGCATAATAGGGCATTGAAGCTCCTACACTATTCTAAATCGAGAACTATCGAGCTTCCTCGACAGGAAGACTGGTGGACAGGTGTCCATTTTCGGCTACGTCATTGTCTATACTTCGGTATTTTACATTTGAATGCCCTCAGACTTTTACCTAAGGCCTATCAAAGGTTAAATTGTCACTTGATAGTAGGTATCCAACGAATGGAATTTCAAGGCCCCACCATATTCCTAGCAAACGTGAATTAAAGTTTGGTAGGAACTTCAATTTTTTTAATTAAATTAGGAATTAACATTTGAAAGCCAGCCACGATTCTCAAGCCTTGACCATTAGGTATAACAGCTCACGCTCACACGGCTCAGTTCAATCCCAATACTCGGCTCGCATCGCTGCGCCACCTACAGATAGTACTGCATTGGTACGGTGTGCCGTGAGTCGTTCAGTGCTGCTCCCTACAAAGGACTAACCCAAACCGGTGGAGCCGCTCGCCAACCCAAGCGCCCTCTAGTGTCCGCTAGAAAGGCTCCACTCATTCCCTTACCCGCCGACCGGCGACAGTTCGTCGAACATTTCACCAAACAACTCGCTCATTGCATTGACGTTTACGTTAAACAACATGTGCAGCTAGGCCGTTTTCTCTGCCCTCGGTGGGATGCTATTTCAACTTTTGCTGGGATAGATTTCGATCCATACTAGTCACAAGTGCTGGGTGTTCATTTATTCAGTTTGTTTGTTGGGTTTCAGGGGCGCTTCGATAGCGAGGCCATTGCTAATTCTGAGGTACAAAAGACTATTCACCTTCCGTCCAACTGGCACTATCCAGCGCTGAATGAAAACCACCCTATCAGCACGTCAGTTTATTACAAAAAGTAACAACGCACGCAGGTTGCAACACTGGGGCTCTGCCCTGTCTGACAAACTAGGTGCATGAGTGTCATAATGACGGGTGCGAGAGATGCCTGCCACTCAGCACACTCACACCACGGCACACGGGGTTAGACCACACGGGACACGCGGCACGTGGCACACACACCACGCCCATTGGACCCAGGGCTAGCCGGCCCACTCGCCTCTCGCGAGCGGCACAGGCACCAGGCCAATACACGAGACTCCATGCGCGCGCGCCGCAAGGGAGGTACAACAGGCGCCACAGGCCAGCTCAGCAAAGCAAACTGAGCCAGCGGTACGGTGTATAACGCGACAGAGACGACAGCAGCCGTTCACGCAGTGCCTCATATAGGGCTGAATATTGAGCAACATGCACCTTTGGTTTGGGCCAGCCATGATCTGCTTGTAGAAAAGGACTTATCTAGTCGGATTAGTAGATGACCAGATGTATACAGAGTCCCTGCATAAATAAAGACTGATTTGTCGTAAGTCCATGGGGCAGCCCCATTAAACATCATTCACTTTAACTGATTATTGGGGGTTAAGTTATTACTCACCAGGTACACGCAATACTGTACTGGAAGCAGTTATCGTCATCAGTCCTTTCAATGTAAAGCCGTACTTCAGCGCTAAACGCTTTGCGATAGCTTTTGTTAACAGAACAAGTAAGCAAAAATACGTTAAAACCGATCATAAATCAGGAAGCGTTTTGAAAACACTTAACGCTATTCATTCTCTCCATTCAATTTAGTACAACCAAATGAACAACCAACAAACTTCGTACATTGATTACGTACAAAAGACGTGACTAGTACGATATGCAAGGTTTGAACTCGCCATTTCGGCAATACCTCGCATTACACTCCTCTCAGTCTCTCTTCAAATCATCGATACCGTAAAGTGGGGCTATTTGAGACAGTGGGGCTATTTGAGACAGTATTTAAAATCGCAATAAAATGAAGAGCGCTTGATTTTTATGTGATATTTTTGCTCAGGAAGGTGTGGAATCGAGCAGTAAATCGCCTGAGCAAAAATTAGGCATAAATTTCAAACGGTTTTTATTTTATAACAATTTTAAATACTGTCTCAAATAGCCCCACTGTCTCAAATAGCCCCACCTTACGGTACTCTCCCTCGGGCCAGCTGGACACATCGCGTCCACACCAGTCACCAGTATCCACCGTAATGTTCAGCCCACTCCAGTCTTCTGACCACAGTCTGAAGGGAGGCCAGGGCGTACCTTCCAGTGATGTCCGATTCGTCTCTCATGACCACAAGACTGTGTGAGGGAGAGTCGCAGGCAGACGACGGCCTGAGGTCTTCTCCCCAAATCTCCATCCCCGCAGCTGAGTACATTACGAGGAGACGCGAGACTTGGAGAGATCGGTGGGCTGGGAGCTGTTCGGCGGCTCACCCGCTGGAAACGAACATACATCGAGTTAGTTTTGAAGTCTTGAAAGCCATGACGCGCAAAAAAGTTGTAAGTGGGCCGGCGTTCAGCACTATTCACAAGACGCGGAGGTACAGCTGTTCAACAGCTCTACCAACGTTGAACTTGAAGCTGGACCATGTAATAGGAGTTAGGAGTCGTCCTGGAAATAAAGAGTACATGACAAAATACAACGATCGTAGGCATACCGTGCGATCTCTCGGTATTAAATGCCTGATCAAAATAATTTCTACAATCATCACACCCACTGAGGCCTTTCAGTCAAGCAGCTCTTTCGACATGGTCGGCTAAGCCAAGCTGTAATAGAGCGATGGGCTGTTTATGAGAACCAGCTTACACCCGGCAACAGTAAAAGGGCCCTAACCACTCTGACCATGATCCGGTTTTACAGCCTGTATAACTGTGGAGGGACTGTTGAGACCAGTCTTCACCAGACCCCTAGCACTCCCTTGTGGACCTGTCTGTCCTGACTCACCATGATCTGGTTTTACAGCCTGTATGACCGTTGAGGGGCTGTTGAGGAGGACCAGTCCCTCGGGTAACTGCAGCAGGCCCGGAGACGTTTGGAACAGGGACGACATCGGCGCTGCCGGACAGAACACACGACACAGGTCAGAGCTTTGAGCATTAGTGTGGTATCTATAGCTCATATGACCATGTGTTGTCACTAGCGCGGACGGTAAGCCTGAGGAGTTCGTGTTTGTGAAGCGATATGAAATTACGAGAACAAAAGTGTAACCTAGGAAATGACTTTAAAATTAAAAGCTACTACGCAAAGCAACTCAGCTTAGGAGGAAAACCAGCAAATGCATTTCAATATGAGATTCCCTTCTCCCAGTCCACCCACGTCCCAGACCCTCCGTTAGTGCACCCTGTCCGCGCCGGTGGCGCCACCTACTGCTGACGAGCCGCGGTCCGTCCCCGGACGAGCAGCTGGGCTGCTGCGCCGAGCTGGCCGCCAGGTGGAGCGAGCTGGGCTGCTGCGCCGAGCTGGCCGCCAGGTGGAGCGCCAGCTGCTGACTCTGTTTGATCTGTGAGAGCAGCTGCGTGGTGAGCAGCGTGTGCGCGCTGCTGGCCGTCACCACGGGAGCGGTGGGTATCGTGCCGCCGCTCAGACTGGACACCGTGCCTGAGGAGGACGGAGTGGGAGATGTCAATAAGTGAGGAAAGTCAGTGGGGACAGAGAGACAGTCATCGGCACCACACTGAATTTGCTCAGACCAGACACAGTACCTGACGGACAGGGGAAGGGAAGGGGTTAATCAGGTGGCTCACTATGGACACTGGAGAGACTGAGACACACCGGATGCCGGACATCACAACGGCGTATCGGATAACAACACGTCATCAACGACGCGCTCGTCTAAAACACTTTTTCGACTTCGTCGCCCACGGTTCGTCGACATATTTCACATTTCGAATTAATAGTTTTAATAGTTTTCACATTATGTTGGAAAATTTTAAGCATAATTTGTATTTTGTGGGCACTAGCTACATTCCACCAGCTTATTATCCAGCCTGTTAGACAGAGAAGCGTTCAGGAAAGTCCTGCCACCTAGCGAAAACCAATAGAATTAATGTTACAGGTGGCGCCACAGCTGCGGATTCACCAGCCGTATCAGCCACGTTCGAGTCGCCGTACAGCTACCGGACCCGATTGCACTGCAATCGCTCCACCGATAGGTGCCAGATGGTGTCCTCGGCGATTAAACATACATGAAGGTCCATTGTCAGTCAGGACATTGCCAGACTACAGCCCAAGCGGCAGCCGTCAATCACACATCAATCAGTCTGGGTGCATTGCATGATGACGGGTTGACAATGCACCGGACCGCTACACGGCTACACACCTTCACCCCGGTCCGTCCAGCCAGCTGCCCTGACCCAGGCTACCCCCGCTCAGCCGTCCTCTCCCCAGTGCCGCCCCCCGCCGTCCGTCCCCGCCCGGTATGGAGATGTACCACAGGGGGCTGGCGCCGGGAGAGCCATATACGGCAGTTTGACGGCGCGTCGTATCGAACACAATCAGTGGCGCACGGACACGCACAGATTGGCGCCGCTGCCCGGGGGCAGTGTGGGTCGGCTGCGGTGCGATCCATCTCCCGACGCTGTCAGTGACCTGTCCTCGGCCGTTCCGATCTGTCCCCGTCGTCCCGGTCTGTCACCGGCCCTCCCACTATCCTGTATCACTGAGTACTGACAACGTCCCATCTCTGGCCTCTGTTATGTCACTGAACCGTGATCGAAGTTCTACGGTCATTTTTCCTTCTTCGCCCATTTCTAACTAAGCTGTGTTTTCCCTCTCCCGCCCTTGTCTTGTCACTGGGCTGTTGCAAAATAAATATCTTTGCTGCCATGCACGTTACCATGTCATTGTGAGCATCGCTTGACTCCATCCTAGACGCACTCACTTTCCAGCCTTATCTGAATCTGGTCAACATCCTATCACAAATATGTGCCGCTCTTCTGCCCCAAGTCCATGTGTCATCTCCCGCATTAGTTCCCTGTTTCTGTCCCTTTCTCCTATACCACCCCTCGTATCTCCCTTGTCTGTGACCTGTCTCTGTTCTATCTGCCGCTCCCTTCCCTCTTAGCACCGCGATTGGTTCAGATAATCACGCAGACTGGTAGCTCTCGCAGCCCACATTTCTCGCTGATGGAAGCTCACCATGGCTGAGAATCAACATCCTTCCTTCAGCGGAGGTTATGTCCCAATTTATGTCCCTCCCGACTTCCCGTCCACCCGTAGCGCGCATAATGCACGTGTGGGCATTGAGAGAGACCCGAGATTGCCGATCAAATGCAGCCAGTGCCGCCAGCCTAGGAAATCAGCAATCAGCACTTTATTTTGGAAGACGTGTTTTGTTGGTCTCTCATCAACTGTCAACAGAAGCAGACTTTCGCACGGTGAAGGCGAAACTACCGCGCCGTATGCCGGATACCGGACGCCAGTGCGAACCTATAATCCGGCGGTTTGGTGAACCGATAAACACAGAGCGCCTAGATGACGCGTCCTTGTGCCGGCCAATCACCAAATATGCCTGCTATTGTACCGAAAGGCACCCATCAAGCAATGACCAAATCCTTGTGAATGCACGCAATGACGGTCTGAGCATGGACACTATCTTACATAATCGAACATGGTACAGTTATTTTGCAGAAAACCTTGAAGCGAGCAGCACGTGAAGAGTATTCAGCGCGCCTCACGCGAGGCGATCGGGTTTTCCTTAGCGGTTGCGTCAAACCAAGCCGCCGTAGACCAGTCTACATACGACCGATACGCCTACAGGCTGTGTACCTACACGCCTTCCGAAAAACACCCCACAAAGAACAAAATAAAAACAGCGGCGCCGGCGGGCAGCATTTTTAAATCGGCCACCGCCTGAATGGCGCAGCGGCCGGGCGTTCGTGTGAGATGGTGGGCGATTGGCGAGCGATCGGGACACGTCAGTCTGGTTACCGGTGACTGGGGGACTGACAGGGCGGGTGGGGCGGTTGACCACATCTCCGGGTGGATCGGGGAGGTCTGTGATCACCCGGGGCCGCCCGGCCACAGAGCGCGTTACTGTGCACGGTACAGGACACCGCCGGGCGTACAGCGGCCGTGGGTGGCGGGGCAATTCGTAAGAAAGGGTGGAGTGCGTTTGGTGAACACAAAGGGTGCATCCCTGGATTAGCCTAACATACAGGATAGATTAAAAAAAATTCGTACGAATGTCAAATAAATCAACACCCGTGTTCGCAAGATTCGACCATTCAGTTCTTTACCGCGCGAATCCAGCGGCCCATGGAAAACCAGCGCACTAACCACTCGACACGCTTTATGAAGCCGAGCCACCCCAGGGAACCCCAGCCGCTCTCAGAACGCCGCCTCAGCCGCGGAGTGACGCGTGCCCGGCCGCGTTACACAACAGTAGAGCGGCTGTGACATCGAGCCGGTGGCGAATGTTTCACCCATGTGTCAGTCGCGACAGCTCATCCAAAAGGCACTTTCCTCTGTCGCGTTATTCATCCTGTCATGCGAGTTCACTGCTCAGCAAGCATTGTAATCGGACTGTTAGCGGGCCGTCGCTCGCAGCCTGCGTCATTCTATAGAGCCAAAGCCAGGGAAGTACCCGGTGTATCGCAATGGTGATAGCACGGGGCCCTGCATAATAAACTGCAAGCTTCAGTCTGTTACAAGTCTAACGTCTGGGTGACAAATGCGTGTCCTGTGTATTTTACAATGTGCTGTGCCATGCTCACTGTCCAATGCTTGGCTGCTGGCAGCCGTCTCCTGCAATAAAAGGGCGGAGAACTGAGTTCGATGAAGGGTTTTGTGGCCATGACGACGGAAATCAAACAGATGACTCAGCCACACCCCTCACACCTGGGCGCCTACGAAGGCTCCTGCTACGAACCATTAGTCACTTCAGTCGTATTCGTGACACATGGTGTCAAATCGCCACCTCTTTTTCTCTCCCTCTCCATCGATTAGAAACCACGCCTCTTTTCTCCACCTCGAAGCGGTAATACGTGGATGATTCATCCACTAAGGTCTGGGCTGTGGGTGCTTTATCCACAACGGTGTGAAATATCCGTCCACTACCGTGATGTGGACTGTAGAGTGTGGAATGGATACATCATCCCCCCCCCCTCGTGGATGTCCATCGTCTCCAACGCCGAGTCCCTCCGTCCCACACGGGGTCCCCGGTCCGTCATGTCCCCGTCGGAGTCGGATTTACCGCGCTGTGCCGGTCGTCCTTCACTGCAACGAGCATAGAGACAGCGAACGGCGAGACAGCGGGACGGCGGAACGGCGACAATGAGAAGGTACTCAGCCGGTGACAACCGCGCAGACAGCAGACAGTCGCAAACAGCCGGAAGGACACCAGAGACACCTGAGACACATGATATACCCGCCCAGCTGCGTAGCACAGGGAGTACGGCAGCGCTGTGACTGTACAGACCAAGCTGCCTGATCTCAGGGTCCGTGTGCCGTGTCTCCTCTCGGCAGTAGCGGTGATGACGGCGGTGGCTGGTGTCTCTGACACCGCCTGACGAACGGCCCGCTGCCGCCGCCACCTGTACGTACACCGCCGAACGGCAGGGGGTCGGCACGGCAGCGCCGTATCAGTACCGAGTCATACAGCGGCACACGCCGGCTGGTGGTGGCTACAGAGCCGTCACAGACGAGTTACGGCCCGGCGCGGTCAATGAGTCATGGGAGACGCGCCCGGGGCCCGCCCGATTGACTGAGGTGCAGATGGGCTGGTCGGGGCCGCGCCGATGGGCCGATAAATATCGCAAACTGTCCTCCCCGGTGTTCGCGCTTATCCAACACAGGAGAAATATGGACAATACGAGCCGTATATGGAGATTGGCCGCGGCGAGACGGTGCCATCTCACACCGCACCCGGTGAGACCGGTAACATAACGACGCCGGCGGTGGAAGTCGAGCAGCTGATTTGTTTATACATCAGCGGGAGGCTAACCGATCCGTCGCTGTTTTATATTCCATGTAGGGGCATAGGCTGGCCACCAATCGTGATTGGCTGTCGTTGGGCCGCTCACCCGGCCACCCAGGCGGGCCATCGGTCGCCAGCGTTAGTTCTTTGTCCAGATAGCGAGGTTTTGTGGAGTGTTGAAGGTTTTGGGTGAGCTTGACTACTCCTACACAGTCTTCTCTGTCTAGTTTCCCACTCGAAATTAGCATAAGGCTACTGAATAAAAGACAAGAAAGTGCCAAGTTGATCAATCACCGATCGCACTCTTTCCACCACCAACTCCAAACGACTCTTACCGACTCACTGATCGTCCCGTATACATAACCTTCCCCCCGTCCCGTATCTCCACCGCACTCACTGATTCAAGACACACCGACGGGCCATCAAGACTGACGGCCCGTATACCCGTACCCGCCGTCCCGTATCTCCACCGCACTCACCGACTCACTTGACCGGTGTGAGGCTGACGGCCCGTATATCCGTACCGCCGTCCCGTATTCTCCATGCCACTCACCGACTGCCCTGACCGGCGTGAGGCTGACGGCGGCCGGCATCACCGTCGCCACCGACACGGCTCCCGACGGCTCCGACAGCTGCGGCGCGTGGCCGTAGAAGCCGTTACTGGGCTTCTGCTCCTGTTCGTCATCCTCCACCTCCTCGACGCCGTCCTCCTCGTATTCCTCCTGAGAGAGGACACACGGGGAGGGGTTAGTCTCGCGGGGTGGGGGAGGTAAGAATGATATGCAGATCTGATGACTATGGGAGGGAGGGAAGGGCACTAGGTACTAGGTAGTGAGTACTTAGGATTGAGTTATAAAAAATAGATAATGCCTACCGTATACATTAAGTTGCAATGCTGAATGTTTCTAATAACAAATGGTGGGGTATTATTTTGGTATTCACAAGGCAGATTCTAAGTGAAAATATTGATAACTATCACCGGATGCTAATCAAGTCATAATTTGGAAGGGGGGGCATTCCACGTCAAATCAAACACCGAAATCCGTCATCCCCTTCGATTTTTCTGAAAATTTGTAGGCAGACTGGGCATGGTTCAAAACTGAGTTACGTATAATATTTTCGAATTTTGATAACGTATCGCTGAGATATAGGTCATCGAATATAGCGAAAAATGCCACACATTAATTTTTTAAATGGCTATAACTCTGGTTCCTTTTCTGGTATCAAAATGATATTAACAGGGTCTTATAGGCAATTGATAAGGCTTTGATTTTTAATCGTAAAATTAAATTGAAGTGACCTTGAAATGCATTTGACCTTGAATTAAAACAGAAAAATTTAAATAGCAAAAAACACGTCACCTTCGATTTGGGTAATTTTCACATATTATGTCCGTCACAATGTTCCTAACCATCTGTGAAAAAATTGGAGTGGGCCATTCATAACTTTCGCGGCAAGCGCCGTTTTCATGCATCAACATCACGCAACCGCGCGTGACCTTGAAAGACAGAGTCAAGACATGCTTGCTTGTGTACACTTTCTGAAATGAATGATTGCTGATTAGTGATATCCCAAACTCTGCGAGAATGGAAATGCATAGTCATCGTAGTCAAGCATTCACGTTCCATAGTAAAAGTGTCTCAGGCAAACGGTATTTTGCGGTGAATTTTGAGCCGTGTGGAAATGCATTATGAAGTAAATTCAACGAAAACATTATCACGCAACGATATCTTAACGTCTTTTGATCTTCACTATACGAAAGAACATACATTTTTTAGTACGTATGGGGAATTTCTAGTTAATCCAATAATAGATATGGCAGTTAGAGGCCTGCTAAGAGTAACATGTCGCCGGCTGAGGTGGGCTCGGCCGATGTGGGAAACGCAGCAATCACAATTTTGTGTTTACACGTTCATATTTCAATTGTTTACCAATCGATTTTCAAAATTCTTTCACCATAAGATTGCCTGTACATTTCTTAGTCTTCTCACAAAATTTGACGCGAATCGAACGTAATCAGCGGTAGGGAGCGCGATGTAAAGACGGAACCGTTCCGTTCCGTCCCGGCACAGTCTACAATTCAGGCGGCGCGTAGCGGTCGGCGCCGGCTGCCCAGTCGCCGCGTGGCTGCGGCGACAGGATGTTCACTTTACACCGCTATTACTAGAACAGTTGTGAACCGATTTTCTTATTGCTTGCACGATGAGATGTCGAATTCAATTCTTGACAGGTAGCCATAATTAATTTCGCATTAATCTTATGAGATATTGGCGAAAAACAGGAGGGGTGGGCGAAATTCGCTCTTCCCCCTCCACTGCGCGTGCTAACATACGTTTGCATATGTGCAATTTTCTTCAAAACTTATGAATGGCCCACTCTAATTTTTTCACAGGTTGTTAAGAATATGGTAGGCAATAAAATATATGAAAATGAGCCAAATCGAAGGTGACGTGTTTTTTGCTATTTCAATATTTGTGCTTAAGAACAGAGTTAAGCAAATTTCAAGGTCATATATTTAAGTAGGTGCAATTCTAAACAAATGCTTAAGAAATTACCTTAACAGTAAGGTTCATTTCATTCAAATCAAACAAGTACAACCAAAGTTATGGTCGTTCAAAAATATAAAGATGCAACATTTTGTAAAAATTTGATGCCCTATATTTAGAAGACCTGTGGTCAGAATGTGCAAAAAACATCAATGTAATGTCCGGGGCCATACAGGAACTCGCTCGCAAATTTATAATGAAATCGCTGATGGTAAGGTGCAAAACAGCCGATTTTTGTTCGATTTGACGTGGAATGCCCCAGGGATCAGTCCATTCGAACTGTATCAAATAAAACAACAAAAAGTTTAGAGCTCCACGAAAAAAAAAAAATCTAATCACTAGTCTGATCACTAGTCCAATGTAAAAAAGACACGAGCAGATAATAATGACATATTCAACACCAATATTTACCCCTCACATGCCCCATACGTCCAGCGTCCTATCATGCTCTGACGTAACCATCACACCCCATGCTCCATCCATGCACCAACAGACAACCATCGCGTCCGTAGCAGCAACAGTGCAGTGCACACTGCACCGCCCCGCCCCGGCCGGAGGCTAGCCCGGTCTCCGCTGCTCAGAGATGAAGCTTCTGGGTTACCCAACGACGGCCCACCTCCGAGCTAATCATAGCGCCGAGCCAAATTAACACCGTGACTACCCGGAATGGAATGTCCCAACGGGATAGTTGACCTCTGACATTGTCAGACTCCCTCCCTCTCGGCTCTCGGTCAGGTGTGGGCTCAAACTATTCCCACCCGCCACCACGTGCTCCCGGCCCCCACCACACGCCCGCCGCGTGCCCAGCGCGTGTCCCATCATCCCGTCGAGACGAACCCGGAAACCACCGGTCTCTCGGCGGCGGTCGTCTCCGGCGGCGCAGCACCCACACCGGTCCGGTGCCAACTCGGCGGCACAGCGACCTGCACCGGCTCCGTAGGGCGCCCTCACAGGCCGACTAAAATTAACCGAAAGCGGCCGGCCGGCCGGCGGCTGGCGAGCCGCCGCGGCCGGCCGAGCTATTTGCGACCAGCCGGCAAAGGCAACCTGATCTCTCGTATGGCGGCGCGCCGGCCGACGCCCAAATTCGGCGCTGGCCCGGCCCGACGGCACCGACGGACCCATACCCGTCGGCGGACCGCAGCGGCCGACGGCGGCGACGGCGGCGGCGAGGAAGGTGGAAGGGAGAAAGGTGGATAAAATAAGGGGTATTGCACGTGATGTGTTGGATCAATATTGATCATGGCATGAGTCGAGACCACGAATAGTAGATGCAGGCGGACTTGTTTGCGAGTGTGTGATGCACCCACATGACGGGCTGAGCAACTCAAATCGCTGAGATTTTAAATAGTCAGTCAGACTATCAAAAAATGCACAAGATTTGCTTCGAAACGATAATTAAAGTCTCAACCAAGGTCTGCCGAGAAAAACTACACTCAAAGTTGAGATATTCGTCGATATGTACCAAATCTATTTCTATCAATCAGAAACATCCTGGTAAAGGTAATAAATTTATTTACGTCAAATTTGATATTTCATCACCGCAAAAGTTAAGTCATGCTAAGGCTGCTGTCGCGATTTCTGCAGACGGTTCAGGATACCACTACTTAGCTTTGTGGCATTGTCTGTTTTGCATATGACATTAGGGCTGAGTTGCAGATAATTCAAATGATAAAAATCAGTTAATCGGCGATGGCGCTGGAGAAAGTTTTGGGGATTTCCGAAAGATAATGTCAAAGAGCACAACGTAATTTTTTTTGTGGCTATCACAAACGGGACGCCATGATGTTAGCGCAGCTATTTTACAAACAAGTTTTTTTGTATTCTTGAAAGTCAACTGAAAGGTAAAGGAGGCAGACGTAGGGCTTATTCATGTCCAAGTCTTCAAAAAAAAACTTGAGAATTAGCAATTCACTGGCTATCTCATTGACAAGACTAAGGTCGGATAAAAATCACAATATTAAGTCTGTCCACAGTTAGGAGTAACCTGCAGCTGAGCAGACCACCACCACTACGGTACCTGAATCGGTGGGACTGCCGGCTTCCGTAACGATAGTGGAATGTCGCACTCGCGACGAACAACGTGATAAACGTCACTGACCCCTGCACTATCAGGACAGAAAAATGCGTCACCAGGACAGGCCGATGACAATCAAACGTCAGTGACTTCTTCAGATAGCGCCCATCAGGACACACAGAGCACCGTGAGTCATTTGCAAACCACACCTGTCTCTTCATCTATGCCTGTGTATAACAGCTGATCTAGATTTGGTCGCACTTTGTCCGCACCAACCCTTTCACCATGCAACTGGGGCACTCTCGGTGAGTTCGCCCGCACTCAAACTGCGCAGCCGGGTTCAGCGGCCGCATTAAATCCGCGCATGAATCTGCAGACACCCACGTGACCATGCAGAGCCGGACATCACTCCGCCTCGAGAGCGGCTGTCCAGCCGAGCCGCTCGCAGAATCGCTGATCACCATAGCCGACGTGCGCCCGGCAGACGACACGCTGCGGCAGCGGCGAGCGGACCAGTTTCTCCCCCGAGCGGGCGGGTACACCCGACCGCCTGCACTGGGGGTGGATTTCTGATCGGGAGCGCGAGAGAGGCGGCTGTGTCGTACCGGTGTGCGTCCACCGTCGTAAGATTGCTTCACGACACACTTTCACCGCTTGTGTCGGCTGCATCGTGAAGTTGACCCGGTCATTCTGAGGAGGGCGGTGGGCGCGCACATCGGGGCCAAGGTCGGCCCGCGCGCCGCACGCAGGGGGGAAGGGTAATCCACGACACAGGGTGGCCGTCAGACGCCCACAAGGACTGGCTTCGGCTACAGAGATGCACACCAATCCAGCTAGGGTACACCCAGTCCGCAACCTAGACTGTGGGTATTGAGATGACCAGGAGACCCGAAAAGAACCGGTCAGGGGAAAATGGTCACAAGAAAACCACTGCGTCAATCCAAATTGATCACAATGCGCCAGCACACATGCACTGCTCTTCAGAAAGCATATCATAAGGGTCCGTCAAAAATTACCGACTTTGAGAGCCATGCTTGGTGGCGGAGATGCATGCATCGCGAATCGATACAGCCATGTGATAGCCAGCGAGCCCGACTGTCAGGGAAGACATTTGAGTCATCCGTCCCGGCGTCAGAGCGATGCTAGACCTCCTACAACA